AGCCTGAAGCACAGACGGAATTGCTATTGTGCTATTTTAACTTATTGAAACAGGACTGATGCAACGACTGGGACAGCAATAACAACACAGATAGAATTTATATAGAGTCAAAGCAACAGAAGGCTCCATGTCGAGCAGAACACCGCACTTACTCTCAATCCTGCGAGCCATTCAGCGACTCTATATTTAATTTTATAGCTGAGAAATTTAGCATCAAAGGCAGGATTTATGGAATGCAAGGACACATCTCTTTTACTGTATCACCGCCGCTGTCTGAATGATAAAAGAATGAGAAAAACCTGCACATGCTGTTACAGAGGAAAGTCTAACATTAATAAAAATGTGATACAAAGCAGCTGACAGATCCAATCTGATGACAAATTATAATAGCTTTTCCAAAGCGCAAATAATTTTGATGAAATCTGTTCCCTGACATCATCTCTGACAATACGGCATGGTTGTTGTTTCAGACAAGAACAAAGCTCGAGATTAACTTGAACAACTCTAAATGTGCAGTTTTTTTTTTTTTTGCTTCCTTGAAGAAATCCTGGATATTTTCATCATCTCGTACCCTGCTGACAGAATATCACTACGTCTTTGTTGAAGCTTGCAGACTTTCTTGGGTTGTGTCAGCATGAGGAACAAAAGAATTTCTAAATATCAATTGTGATCGTACATGAGTAAACACACAGCCTGTGAGGACACTCTGAATTATTTCTAAAATCCAGTAGCATGAAAAGCTTCAGTCTGTGTATTAGCGCCTGCTGCAAAGGCTCGGATGGGGGGCTGTGAAGGTAAAGATGAATAAGTTTAATTTGGTTTCTTTCATCTGTCAAGCATGCCTGGGCTTTGCATATTTAACAGTATGTGTAAAACAGACTACGTGGGCAGGATCCTTATGAGTCGAAAGTGTGGGATCTGCTGAATCACTGCTTTAGAATTAATTTGATTTAACCAATGCGGTGAGAAAAATATCAAGATAATTAAAAGCCAGCCTCGTTTGACAATGGGCAACAGAAAAGCTATGGATTTCACATTATTTACACAAGATTCACTTTGACTTGTGCTGTTCACTTCTTGTGCACGACACCTGGAATTCTCTCTGCTGCTATTTGTTTTCACATTAACTTCACAATAACCTATTAAGCTTTTCATTGTGATTCCCCCTAATTATTGTTATTTAGGACGCATTCTACAAATCGGGTTTTCAGGTTGGCGCTGCAAACGTGATTAGTAGTCCGAGCTCGCAGTTTCCCACTTTAATCTTCCTTCCTCTCACCTTGCTGACGGTGATGACTCCGTCCTGAGTGTCTTTGTCAGTGGAGATGTCGAACATGTCCATGCCGTCTCCGCTGACGATGGTGAAGTACATCTCGGCGTTCCTCCCGATGTCTCTGTCAGTGGCTTGGATCCTTCCAACTGGAGAGCCGGACTTGGACGACTCTGGGACTCTGAACTGGTATATACCTGAAAAACAACGCACAGGGTCAGCTGCAAAATATGTACATCCATGTAATAATGGTGTGTTTTACTTACAATAAATCCATGTGTAACAGAGATACAACTATAAAAGCTGTATGTGTGGAATACTTAAGTTTTTTAATTCATTTTTTGGTCTTTTCCGATAAAGGGAAGCTTTTTTTGTTCCTTCTGACTGTCACCAAGCGCTTGTTTAGAGGGAATCCAGAGGAAACTTGTTTGGTTTCTCTGTTCTAAATTTGTGAGGTCTTCACTTTACTATGTGAAGTGCAATGAGATGACATATGGTTTGATTTGGCGCTATATAAAAAAAACTGAGTAACTTCAGTAGTGAGGTATTATGGTTGCAGACAAATTAAACGACATATTGTTATGCTATTATATGTCATGGGAGCAATGTAATTTTTCTCATCCTATATTCAGAACAGCATTAAAACAAAATGTGCAAAAATTCACAATAAGACACAAAAGCAGGGGTGAAATGTATTAAAACGTGTCAGTCATTAAAGAGATATGCCTACTGATACATTTCTCTGGTTGGGAATGATTTATGGTCTGATTGTTTTGTTTATCAGTAAGAAGCACATCTCATTTATTATCGTATGCCGGTTAACTATGCAGTTTGTGTCTGTCGTGACACTGGTGATTGAACTGATTTTATATGCTTCATCTGTGGGGTGGGCCAAGCAGCGCTATCCACACCATCTAAATGGGAAATCCATTGATCCATATCAGACGTGATAATGTGCAACTTTAACAAGCGGCTTAGCAGCAGCTGTTAAGTGTCCTGTGGTTTAACTTCGCACCTGCTACAGTGATGTAGAGGTTTACCACAAGCTGCGTTAAAGAGACACTTTAACCATGACACACTTAACTTCACTATTAGGTGTGTCTAAGTACGCTCTGGCACTCTTAATGTGCGAAACACCTTGCAGAGAAAACGAGAACGCCCCCGTTACATCCCTCTGCACCTTACTAGCTTTGAAGTGGCAGCGTGAGAGAATTTGGGAGGTGCATAGACTTCACTGTCCTAATTATCCACACCTGAGAACGCGTGGATAAGAGCCATGCCCGGGGAGACTCGCTCGGTCGCCGCTCTTCTGCTACCGGAGCTGCTTATTCTTTTGCACTTTACCCCCTACATTCTAAATTATTTACCGAAATAACTAAAAGATTACTCGTAAAAACACTGGACTAAATTTGTCTGTGCAGCAGGGTCACAACACGCCACATAAATGGAAACAAAGACATCAAGAAAGTTTCTCTCCTTGAAAAAAGAAATGACAGTATAAATGCTGAACGGTGAAACAACATCTTTCTGTTGTCTTAGAACTTCATAAAGAAGGTGAGACAGGTAGATGGCAAGAACAAAAGAAGCATTCTCTGTCCAAAAAAAAAATAAAAAATAGAGTGTAAATGCTGATGGAAGCTGGGCGCTGGAACAATGTCTCTCTGCCAGACTGCTGACGATCATTAAAAAAAGCATTTCAATGTATTTTTTGTAAGCGTGATGTATCCTTTTGTTCTCCAGAATAAGTGCTAACACTGTGTTTTGCCATCAGTTTGTTGCTGAGAAATGATGTCTGTTGCTAAGATTTATTTTTTTTTCTTTCCTCATTCTGAAGCAAACACAGCCACGGCCTGTGCATATATATATATATATTTAAAAAAAGCAGCTCGTTTAGGTAACTAAATAGAGTCCAAGCACACAAACACACCTAAATGAATGCAAATGAGATGTCACTCTGCTATATGAACCCGAGGCAGTTTCATATCAGGACACCTCCTTAGCTCAGGATGTGTGTTTATGTGCGCGCTCCGTTTCAGAGATGTAGTGGTGTGTATAAACCACTTGACTGAGTAATTATATGCTGCTGAGCCACAGCAGGCGTCTTACACCGTGGCAGCCAGTCAGTGCCGAGCCTTTCCATTGTTTCGGTGTTTTTGTGATTTTGTAGCCATAGAGATATTGTGATAAAGGATATGTGTATACACAGTTCACACGTATTATCAGGAGAGGGGAAGAGATACTTCCACCGCTGCAGCTGCTAACATCCACCATCCTATTCAGCAAAAAAAACACTTCGAGGCCTTTATAACATGTGTACGTACATACAGACGGTTGACAAACTTGAATAAATGAGTAGAGAAACACCAGAAATGCAGATGCCTCCACATAAGTGCGCCGTGTTGCAATAAACATGCAACTGTGCACTGACGCAGGTATAAATATGCTGATACCGATCTTGTATCAGGATGGTAAGAAGAAAGGATCTAAGTGACTTTGAAAGAGGGTTCGTTGTTTGGGCGCAGTCGGCAGGAGCTTCAGTCACAAAGGCTGCTCAAGTGGCTCCTGTTTTAATAGGAACAGTGCCTCAAGCGACATCTTTATTTAGACGTGATGAACGATTCGCATTTGATAACCACGACGCTTGTGCATTACTGCGATAGTCAAGAAAAACAGCGGAGGAAGTCTTCGTCAGGTAAATGCAGGACGTGATCAGACTGTCAACAAGAACAGTCCATCAATTACACAGAGAGGAATATTACAGTAGGGCTGCAGTGGCCCTCATTAGAAAGATGAATGCACACATGAGAGCTCAGTGGTGCAAAAACTATAGGCACTGGTTCACAGAGATGTGGAAAAAGGTGATGTAGCTTGATCTTTCGTCACCATCTTCCTGACAGGTGGGTGATTGCATGTGAGAGAAGAGGTGCGGGCCTGAACCATTGACCTCCACAGTGTGGGGATAAGGTGGCTCTGTTGTGAAATAAATATAATTTACCAACCAGGAAGTCTATTTCATGCAGTGATTTGAGTAGCTTCAGATTATGGTGACCTGTGGAGACCACACACATATAAGAATATATATATATAAGGAAGAAATGAGGGAAAGAACACAGACTGTATGAAACTAGGCCAACAGCTTCAAATGTTAATATAGTAGCTTTAAGGTCTCATGATCCGTGTTTCCTACTGATGTGTTGATCAAAGAAAAATGACTTTCTTTTGGTCCTCTGTGGGTGGCCCTTTAGAACCTGCAAACGTGTATGATTTTTGGTGGTAAAGCAATCTTAATAATTAACCTCCTCTCCCTCCCAGACCACCTCAACATGGTCACATACAAGTGAAAGGCCAAACAAGGGGAAAAGAAATGTTGTTGAAAAGTAAAAAAAAAAAGTGTGATTTTGAGTGACATGTTTGTCCAAGATGAAGGAATTGTGGAGAGGAGCGGTCAAATGACATCTGTGATTTGGAGACGGTTTAGATTTGTAATGCTGGATGAACAGCAGAGCGGTCGTAGACTGGGCTGGCAACCAGTACTGGTGAAGACCAGAAGCACAATAAACCTTTTTCACCATTAAAAAGGTCTCAGCATGTGTACAGAAAGCCAAAGTCTGCTGCTCCAACGTGCCAGCCTTACATTCAAGCTCACAAACAACCATACTGTGGTAGTTCAACAATCACATTTCTGCAACAGTCACATGAATTTTTGACAGTGTTGATTGCAGGTAGCATTAAGTTATTTAGTATAAAAATAAACAACCCTAGTCCCGATTGAATATAGCCCTTGATGTTAGCAATAAAAGGTTCCCCTTGGAGTTCTCTTATAAACAAACAAGTTCTGTTTACATACGGTGCTGCTGAACGACAGTGTTTGAGGTTCCCACATTAAATATGATGAATTTGTTTCCTTGCTCACTAAAGGTATTAAATGTATGTTGGTATGAACTGTATGTATGCGGCCATAAAGAGGAAATGCTCCTTCTATTCAAATACTTCTGGTAGTGTATTTATGTGCCCATCTCTTAGTAAAATACAGAAACAAACAAGTGGGAGCCTGCTGAAAGCCTGCAGAGCCCAGAGGTAAAGAGAGGAGAAGCAGATTTCATCTCCACTCAGTTTTCTTTCTGGCTGGTTGGAGATTGTGTTGCCTCTTGGCTCCGACACCGACAGCACTGATTGGAGTCCTGGTGTGAAGTGAAATGAATTGACATGACCAAGGTGTGTGCGGCTGTGTGTGTGTGTTCCACCCATTCCTGACCTTAAAGACTGAAGGCAGGCTTTTGTATCAGCAGACAGGAAGCATACAGTATGTCATCACACTGGATGGCGCTCATATATGCGTGTATACGTGCATCTGTTAAGTAAAGAGAATGATAATGCCACATGCAATCTGTTGAGCAGATCCCGCGGTGATCTTGTTTGCACTCTGCACCGGTGACGGAAACAGCGGCTGAATGGGTGCTACTGCTAATGGGTGGAGGGGAGGAGGCAGAAACTGCCACTCTGATAGTGACTGTGATTGAACGAGGCAGAGACAGAGGGGGAGAGGGAAAAACAATCAGAAGATGAAGAGATGGATTCAGAAAGCTAGAGTGCCAGAGAGCGAAGGGGAGGAAGCTCTGCCTTTGCGGCAATTCATGAGGATTAGTCGGGAGACTGACTGATGTGATCGAGGCCAACGGTGCAGCAGTTTACTTACTTCTTTTACACTGCTGCAGCCACAGAAACACACCAGCTGTCGCCGTGTTCAAACTCCAGTACACCTGCTAAACGGAGATTATCTCTGAATTACACTTAACTGCTCCACACGCACTGGATTGAAACAGATTTAATGATGAATGACGGTAATAATCACTGAACTTCTGCCAAACTTGCTCATGTGAAATTGTTTGATTTTGGTAATTATTTTTGGAGGGAGATGAATTAACATGATTCAGAAATATTAAACATTAAGACCATGAAATTATCTATCAAGCTAAGTGTGCCAAATTTTCCCATTTCATCAAAATTATAGAGCAAGTCTCAAAAAGGTGACGTAGCCAATTAAAATGTTTATACACCAGAATACGTTTGTTATGGACACTGGTGTGATATTTCTGTACACACTTGATTTCTTCCCCCCAAAATATGCTAAATTAATTTTCTTTTAAACATTCTCGAGCCATCTTGGCAGGTAGTTTTTGCCACATTAAGGCATGCA